AAATTAGAAGACAAGAAAATTTTGATTTTATGTACTAAATCAAGGCTAGGACTAAAAATAAGCATGTCATCCACATAAATGCAAATAATAACACATGTACCATCTATACATTTTGTATAAACACATTTATCTACTTCAATTGATGAAAACCCATCATTAATCAATACTTGATCAAATTTTTCATGCCACTGTTTAGGTGCTTGCTTTAGATCATATAAAGATTTTAACAATTTACATACTTTATTTTCTTGTCCAGACACTATACAACCCTCAGGTTGCTCCATGTTAATTTCCTCTTCCAAATCACCATTTAAAAATGCAGTTTTAACATCCATTTGGTGAATAAAAAGTTTATAAATAGAAGTCATGGCAACTAAAACACGAATCTAGAAAATTCTAGTTACAGGAGCATAAGTGTCAAAATAATCAATATTTTACTTTTGGGTAAAATCTTTTGCAACAAGTCTAGCTTTGTATTTATCAATGGAACCATCCGGATTGAATTTCTTCTTAAAAATTCATTTACAACCAATGAGTTTAGCTCCCGGAGGTAAATCAACTAAAATCCAAGTTTTATTTTGTAAAATTGAATTTAATTCTACATCAATAGCTTCTTTCCAAAATGAGGCATCATACGAAGAAATAGCTTTAGAATATGTTAAAGGATCATTATCCACAAGATAAGTATAAAAATCATTACCAAAAGATTTTTCTTTCCTTGGTCTTTTGCTTCTTCTTAAATCCTCACTTTCAAAATCATTTTTAATAATTGGAACATGTGAAATATTATCACTTGGAATAATAGGAGCATCAGAAATTTTTTCAAATTTTAAAGGAAAAATATTTTCAAAAAATTCAACATTTTTTGTTTCAACAATAGTATTATTTTCAAGTACATCACTTTTGACTACTAAAAATCTATATGATGCACTGCTTTCAGCATACCCGATAAACATACAATCAGATGTTTTAGATCCTATTTTCCTTTTCTTAGGATCAGGCAACATAACTTTAGCAAGGCACCCCCACACTTTCAAATATTTCAAATTAGGTGGATACCCTTTCCATAACTCATAAGGAGTTTTACCCGTTTTCTTATAAGGAATTCTATTTTGTAAATGACAAGCAGATAAAATGGCTTCACACCAAAGATTATCCGAAGCACCAGAACTAACAAGCATGTTATTCATCATTTCCTTTAAGGTCCTATTTTTTCTTTCCGCTACACCATTTGATTGTGGAGAATATGGTGGAGTTATCTCGTGAATTATCCCTTCTTTCTCACAATAATCATTCAACAAAATAAATTCACCACCTCTATCGGATCTAACTCTTTTGATTTTCTTATCTAATTGATTTTCTACTTCAGATTTATAAATTAAAAACTTATCAAAAGCTTCATCTTTATTTCTCAACAAATAAACTTTTGTATATCTAGAAAAATAGTCTATAAAAGTAACATAATATTTTTTCCCTCCTCTAGTCATAGTTTGTTTCAAGTCTCCTAGATCAGTATGAATTAAACTTAATAATTCAGATTCTCTAAATACTGAAGCACATGATTTCTTAGTTTGTTTAGCTTCTTCACAAACCTCACACTTATCAATATTCGAAAAATTAATATTTGAAATAAGACCTTCAGAATGCATTTTTTTAATATAAGATAAACTAACATGTCCTAATCTAGCATGCCATAAATTAAAAAAATCAATCAAGTAAGCAGAAGTACTAACATGTTCATTGATAACATTGAGTACAAACAAGCCATGGTTATAATAACTCTTGCCAACAAAATTATTATTCTTGGTCAACACGACCTTATCAGATTCAAAAGAAACCTTCACCCCCACTTTTCCTAATAATCCCATAGAGACCAAATTGGCTCGGATACTAGGAACATGCAACACGCCATTCAATGCAAAAGTTTTGCCAGATGTGAGTTTGAGAAGAATTTTGCCTTTTCCAAGAACTTGAGTAGTTCTTGAGTCACCAAGATAGACAACTTCTTCTCCCTCCTCAACTTGGGTGTAAGACACAAAGTCTTTTTTGTTAGCACATATGTGCCTAGTGGCTCCAGAATCTAACACCCAATCTTTCACATTGGCCACAAGGTTCACTTGGGAAACAACCGCAACAATTATATCATCCACTTTGGCTTCGGTCAAATTTACTTTAGCCTTAGTGGGATTATCATTCCCAACCCTTTTTCGACATTGAGCAACATAGTGGCCAGGTGTGCCACACACAAAGCAGTTGCCTTTTTCTTTGAAGGTTTGATTGTTGGTTTTGGATTTATAACCATTTCTTTTATCATACCTGTTACTTGATTTTCTCTTACGGTTGTTCTCCTCCACAAGGCTGCTTCTAGTAGCAATTTCTTTTCCTTTGTCAACCACAGCGTACTTGCGGTTAAAATTATCTCCACCAAAAACAGCAACAGAAACAATTGGTGCAGCAGGAGTAGTAGCATCGACAACAACATTAGCAACGTTATTCTCCATAATAACAGCGTAATATATCCTTAAGATTGTTGTAAAAAAATGGATGATTATGGAGAATAAAAGGTTTAGTTTGAGGCGTGTCAAAGACACTGTCCTTAAGGATATTTCGCCCACACCGAAATAAATAATATTAGGCGTATCCCCCAGGATTCAACAAGCTCTTCTAGTATAACTAGGAGCAGAAACAACAAAGATTTATAAGAAGAATACCTAGTACAAAAGAAAGAAGAAGAATTTTTTTTACTAATTTCACTCCTTTCCAAAGTGACCACACAAAGGACTTATATAGTAAAGGCTCATCCAAATTTTTTAACGTTGCTTTTCTGTTAAACAACATAAAGACAATCATTAAAAACATTTAACTCCATTAAGGAGCCAAATTCCAACTGATGTAACGTAAAGAAACGTCTAAGAAATGATTCCTAAATCAATGTTAAGAAACAGTCAACTAAGCATATTTGATCAGATTCAAAGATGTAGAAAAATAACTTATTTTGATAGTCATTGATAATAAATATTATATTCAAAGTTATTCTAATTTACTTTTATACACATTAAAATATATTCAAATTGATTGGTCATATAAAGACCCATTAAAAAAGTGAACCTAGACATCACTTTAAATATTCTTTTTGAGATATTAAAAATATTTTTTTTTTAAAATATATAGGTTCGGTTGGTTCAGTATGGAAATCACGAACAACAACAACAACCCAGTAAAATCTCACTAGTGGGGTCTAGGGAGGGTAGTGTGTACGCAGACCTTACCCCTACCCCAAAGGAGTAGAGAGGCTGTTTCCGAAAGATCCTCGGATCAAGAAAACAAAAAGACAAAAGGAGACAATATTAGTATCACCACGGAAATTATAGGAAAAATGGGAACATGAAATCCAGAAGAAAGATGCAAAGCAAAAGTGATAGCTAGTAAAATAGGTCCTGCATTGAAAACCGAAATAGTAAGACACAAAATTACCACTAGCTATCTAAGACAAAACCCCTACTAGACTAGTCTCACAAAGGTACGAAGTAAGGCAAGACTCGACTACCTCCTAAATTACAACCCTAATAGTCGACCTCCACATCTTCCTATCAAGTGTCATGTCCTCGAAAATCTGAAGCCTCGTCATATCCTGCTTGATCACCTCTCCCCAATACTTCTTAGGCCGCCCTCTACTTCTTCTAATGCCCTCCACAACCAGCCGCTCACACCTCCTTACCGGAGCATCTGGGCTTCTTCTCTGAACATGTCTTAACCATCTGAGCCTCGCTTCCCGCATCTTGTCATCAATGGGAGCCACGTGCACCTTCTCCCGGATATCATCATTTCTAATCTTATCCATCCTAGTGTGCCGCACATCCACCTCAACAGCCTCATTTCTGCTACTTTCATCTTCTGGATATGTGAGTTCTTAACAGGTCAACACTAAGCCCCATACATCATAGTCGGTCTAACCACCGCTTTATAGAACTTACCTTTGAGTATCGGTGGCGCTCTCTTGTCACAAAGGACTTCTTATGCTAACCTCCACTTCATCCATCCTATGCTAATACGGTGAGTGACATCCCGTCGATCTTCCCTCTCCCTGGATCACTGACCTAAGGTACTTGAAGTTGCCTCTACTTGGGATGACCTGTGATTCACCACTATATGACATATATGCTAGCTCAAATTGATTGTTATTACTTATTACTTCTTAGGCTTGGAATGCCACCAATAATTCACATATACATAAAGAAGCACCTTGCGTAATCCATGATCTAACCACGTGTATTAGGAAGATGAAAAAGAAATTGGGACCGAATTTTGTATGTACCACTACTTTAGCAAACACATCTTTTGTTAATAACTACCTTGAAACCATGTAACCAAGGATAGTAAAGCCTTCCACTATCTACTAATATTACGAATAATATCAACTTACGTACCAAAGAAANTTCCTTGTGGGAATATAACTACTAAACGATTGTATAATTTTGAGATATCAAAGCTATGGGCTTCAACTGATCAGAAGCTCAATTTGTTAAAACACACATGCTTACTTGACGATCAACTATTTACGTTTGAGGAGTTAACTTCTATTTTAATACGTCCAAATTACAATTATTTTCCGTAACTTCTGGGTATACAATTTTATTCTTCCAAAATTAATACTTTTGGATCATGTCATTTTCTTTTCAGATAGAACATGAGCTTTCATCTTTCAAGTATAAGTTTGTAAAAGTCCCTTCTATTAAGCAATAGATAATTTGGCTGTTAACTTTGTATAGTAATATCCCTATTTGGGGTTCATTCTTATATCCACGATGTCAATATAAATTCACACAAGTCACTTATTTCTCTCATACATAAAGGTTAAAACTCCTGCATTACGCTGTGACTCAAAAACCAGTCCGACAATCTGCTTGAAAGAAGCCGCTGAGCACATTGCACATTATTTTTATTAACGAATTTATAGCCAAAGTATAAACAACACAACCAAACAATGTCAATCTAACCAATAGATCAAAAATCCAAATTTAAGCCATTTCATTATATATAACCAACCAAGTGCTCAATGACAAAAGCTTATCAGTAAAACCAGAGAAAAAAGAAATACAATGATAAAGCAGTTCACCATTACAAACTTCTCCTCATGTAAGCAGCAAGCATGACTTCTTAACAGCCACAATTATGTAGAATACTATTACACTGCAAAAGATCCAACTCATCATAAGGTGATAAAAGAGACGAAGGGATTTGATACTAATGGCAAAAAGAGGTCCAGAAATCAACCTACCAATAATATGCCTAGAGGCCTTGCTCAACAAGATAGTCACCAAGCCTTTCAACAATCATATTGCACTGGCCAGGAGTCATTGGCTCATCATATATTCCAATGATCAAAGCCTGGTTGGTCTTCTTAATAGTGATACCACCTGGACCCTGAAAATAACCAAGCAGAAAGCCAAGATGACATTACAATGAATCCAAAGCAAATCGCCACAAAGATATATATATATATATAGAACTCGACAAGTACCATTTATTTCATTACCATCACCAAAAGATACCAGGATGATAACTAATTATTTAACATTCAATGGGAAATCTGTAGATAGCTTGTATCACTTGGGAAAAGGGATAAAGATTTGCTCAACCCAGCAGGTCGTTCAAGCATCTCAAGGAGGCGCAAGTGAGTTACGGAGTTTCCATGCCCACTTTAGATAAGATGTGTATGCAAGGAGACTAATGGGAATTCAAGCTTTAAAAAACAAAGATCATGTACCTTCTTCCCTCGGATCACCGCTCCTGGCTCTCCCTGAATCACCATGTATTTTGTTCCCCCGAGATATAAACCAGTTGGAGCAAGTGTTCCAGGTTCAACAAAGTCTTTCATTATGCCTGTTATTTCTTCTGGCTTGAACTGCCATAATACATAAAATCAATGAGTTAACAATACTCCAATAATAGACAATTTAAGACCCACAGGCGGTTATGTCCACCCATCCCTTCTTTACTCATCACCATTCCAAGGGAATGGTGGTGAGCAGGTCAGAGAAATGAAGAGAAAAGATCGCAAAATGAAAGAAGAGAAAAAAACACCATTTCAATTTTCTACATTACAGCATCAGATTAACCACACCTATAAGATGCAACCGTCAGACACTAGCATAAAACAAGTGGAGAACAGCAACCGTAAAAGCTAAGTTTCTCAATTACTTAGCTAAAGTGGTGTAGCTGTAACCTGAAACTTCAGCACAATCAATCAGAAATTATATCCCCTTCCTGGCTCTGATCCCCATTGTTTCCAGCCAGAAAAAAATCTCTTCCTAAGAATCTTGAGGTTTAATCAGACTAGACCTCTTAATAAAAGTTTAACTGGAGAGAAATAATCATTGAGTTATCCCTTTATATTTTTTCTTCTTTGGCTTAGTATTCTTTTTCACGTCAACCTTCTTCTTCTTCTTTGGGCCACTTGCTCCCATCTTCTAGTTTAGCCTTTTCAACTAGGTAGGCTCTCACCATTCTCTCTTGTTTTTTGACATGTTCTTCACCAGACTACACTCTCCCTTATCACACTCTCCAAAGAAAATATAAAAACTGGAGACGGGTTCCGCTCCATGTTGGATTAGCACACAATTCTCTGCTCAACTAAATATATGTGGATCTCTCACTGATAGGATCAACTGGAGTGAAGCTGACAGAAGGTTTAACAACTAGAAAAGTATGGGGGAAATGTAAAGCTTGAAGCTTTCTTAACCTCACTCCATGTAATTCCTCTCACCAATATTGCATGAGGTTTTACATCTCAATTTTCACAGAGAAGGTCCCAACCCTGTAAACTTCCTAAATTTTATAACGGTGGTGTTTGGACCAGCTTACCGGACATTGACAATTCCACTGGATACCTCCTACACCCCTCCCCCAACCAATACAGATACCAAGTAACTCTGCTCACCAAGGCTTAGGCGGGAAGAAATCATCTTGGTTTTCTTCTATAGGTTTTAAGCACCTACAGGGCACTAGAAGAGCCAAATAACCTAATATTCCTTCCTAGCACGCTTCCAAAATTCTGTGTTTAAATATTTTTCTGCTTACTTCCACTTCAATAATTTTTCTCTATATTCTTAATTAGAACCACATTCAGCGCTCAGCAAATAGATAAAATCAACATAGATATTAAACAAAGGAAACTTATATCCCAAGAGCAAACTAGGCTGAGGTACACAAATATCAGTCAGCTACTCCTCAATCCCAAATTAGCTGAGGTCAACTATATGAATCCTCTGTATGACTATCCACTCTGCTCTGTTCAGATCCATTTCATTCCAATAACAAATAATCATCTAAACTACTTTGTTTCTCCTTTCTTTAAACCCAACGTCTGTAAGCTACCCCCAATAAATAAATAAAGCACCAGAACCTTCGCCAAGGCGCATCCCAATTTTTTTATTCTAGTCCACCAAAAATGCAATAATTCAACAAAATACCTAAATAAGAAAAATCTGAACCGCTTGAATCTGAGTAAGAGCAGAAACATATGAAATCTAGCAAAATTGGAAGTGGGTATAGAAAGGAAACCTGAGGAAAATTGGCGGATTGAGCCCAAACGGTGCCGTCTTGACCAATAATAGCAGCAGATGTGAGATGGTTACCTTCAATCTCACACAGCAAGTGATCATCTACATATGTTTGCCACGACATTTTTTTCTGCTTTTTCAGTGATTAACCTAAGTTTCTTCTTCTTCAAAAGTTGCTCCGAATCCCAGATCTATAGTTCAGTGAGATATTATTGTTTGTGTACTTGTGCTTGAGTAAAGAAAATGGGTTGATAAATGTGATAATGGCTTTTCTAGAAGTTGCGTTGAGGTTAAGCTGAATTTAATTTCTTCTTTAATGTAATAAATGGTCAATTTCTTTTTTTTCTTTTGGTGTGGAATAAGACTGGAAGATTCGGACAACTATAAAAATCTCCTTTTGACTTCAAGCGGACACTTTATTGACATACATATCGTTAGAGCCCTCAAAATCATTCCAACCCAACCCGTTATTTAAGTAGGGTTGGGCTGAGATTTTTTGAGCTCCGGCCCAAGTCAGTTCGCTACTCCTTGAAGTTTGATCGAGGTTGGGCTTGGGCTGGCCCGTAGGCTAAAAATTAATAAATTAATTAACTATTAAATATTTAATATTTAAAAAAGTAAAAATTTAAAAAAACTGTTAACTATAATTCCCATTCCCTAACCCTAGATTGCTCATTTACACTTCCATATCAACTAGAATTTATATTTTTGACATGCATGTAATATGACAAAATTAGTTTTTCTTTTGCTTAATTAATAACGAACTCGAAAAGTTTTAGCCAATAATAATCATTTTTCAAAATAAAATATTACTTTAAGTGGCCAATAATCAGTTTGAATTACTTTAATATACTATTAATAATTAGTTGCTCTTTAGTATAGAAAAAGATCAATTTTGAATACAAAAAAAATAATAATTGACCACTAGCAAATTTCGGAAATTTTAAAAATTTTATGGACTATAATGATGAAATCAGCAAATGATATTAATCATAAATTAAAAAATCACAACATTTAAACTTATTGAAGCAATCCTTGAATATGAGACAAATGAAAGAAAATCATTAAGAAAATATTCATGTAACTTTAAAAAAGAAAAGTTAGAAATATGGAGAATTTGCATTTCAATTACGAGATTCCTCGTCAAATATCAAGTATTTTTTTTTACGCTCTAAGCAAACAAAAGTTATTTACATGATTAATCGACTATATCACAAAAATAATTCTAAGGATTTAAAGAAATTCTTTTTTCTTAAAAAAAAAAATTAAAGGGTCGGCCCGCCCTAGCCCGCGGCCCTTTTAGGGCTGGGTTGGGCTGGCCATTTAAGGCCCGTTCATGTGGCGGGCCGGCTCGTCCTAGTCCACCAAATTTAAAAGCCCATAAGGTTTGAGTTGGGTTGAGCTGGGCTGACCCGTTTTGACAGTTCTACATATCATGCTAGTATCGCCTTAATTTGGATTAATTTAACAATTTATCCTTAAATTAGTACTACTAACTCTTTTTCGATTAGACAATGAGTTTAAAAACTAAAAAATAATTTTATAGTGACTTTTGTACATTAAACATAGCCAAGATTTGAAGAAAAAAATAAACCTGAACGATCACTCATAAAATTTTCTCCTTTTTACTTCTAGAGAAGGATAAAATCTACTAGATGAAATTAATGTGAATTATATACATTAAATTACATAATTCACACAGGTCAGAACCATTGAAATAGTCATTAATTCTTGCATTTAAAGTAGATTATCTACATTACACCTCTTGGGGTACTGTCCTTCTCCGAACCCTGCATGAATGGAGGATACTTTGTGCACCGAGCTACCTTTTTTTATGTACATTAGATTAGAAAGCCAACATGAAAAGTAAAAGTGAATCCAAAAATTAATTTATCGGTTTAAGATTTTGATTGAACCACTAAGCGAATCACCTTATTTGAGTTATGGGCTCATAACCGAAAGGAAGGGGATGTCGAAGGCGCGGCCATAACTCAATGTTTTTCAATAATATTAGTGGAATTTTAATAAACCACTATAGGTTAGAGATTATTTACTTGGTACAACTATAATTTTCGTATTTACTAGCCATACACAATACTTACGTTGCCAGGAGTATATATTTTCTGTATTTGTGCGTGTAGGATAGACTATATCAATGAATACGATTTTAGTGTATTCCGATGTATTCAATTTACTATATTTAATTCGGTTGAATTCAAAAAAAAAATACAATGGTATTTGGTTGTATCCAATTCGCTATATTTATTCGTAGCTATTTTTACATTGTATTCAATTCATTGTGTTCGATTCGGCTGTATTCAAACAATAAAAAATTCAAAAAATATAGGCAAAAATACAAAAAAGTCTCATTCGAAATACAATAATATATATATATATATATATATATATATAAATACAAAAATATACATTGTATTTACACTCCAAAAAAATGAATACACTCAAATTCGGCCTGATTTGAGAAATACAAGAAATAAAATAATTGTTGTAGTCGTTCACACATAATAGTTGTATTTTGGATACAGTAAATACAACATATGAGAGACTGGATACAATCTAAATAGATGCATTCAATGTGTGAAAATCAGAATACAATTATCAAATGGCTCAATAATACACTGTATCAAAAGGCAACAACATCGATAAATAAAATCAAATACAGCTAAATACAACTACATTCTCAATGTATACAGCCAGAGAAGAGAAGAAAGTTTGTCGGAGATGACATTTTTTGCCCAAGCAAAACATTATATATATTGTATTTATAATCAACATGGAGACGAACAAAAATTCGGTCAGATCTAAGAAAACACTAAATACACTCTATTTATCATTTGAAAATCCGGCGATATGAGAATGAGGCTTCCAAGCTTCGCGTCATCAGAGACGAACTAAAACCCAGCCAGATCTAAGAATACAATGTATCTACTATGTATTTACCATTCGAAATCCAGTTAGATCTGAGAATAAAATGTATGTAACGTATCATTATATGTGATTCTATAGCAAAGATGAGAAGAGAGTTCACCGGAGACGTCTTCCAGCCATGCAAAATTTGAAAGTTCCCTTTGTTTGTCCCCATATACATATTAACTAGTGCGTGAAAATAGGTTCCTTGATCCTCTTCAGTTGTTCAAAAGAGTATCACAATCCAACTTACACACTTTGGATTACTTCCAAACTTTTCAAACAAGTTCAATTCAACTATATCGACCTATCCAAAGTGTGCGAACACCAATTGGAGTTCAATAACATCAAAGTCAACTCTTGGTCAAACTTATGAATTCTTAAGTTATTCAAATTGCCAACTTTGGAGAAATAGTGTCAAATTCTTCTAGGCAAAATTGGTGTTAACCGGCACCCTCAGCAATCTCTATTCCCTTTATGTAAATATGCACCACATATTAGGTCATTGTTTTCTTGATTTGCCATAAGTATTAAAAGATTGGGATTGATAGACTGAAAGGAAGAGTATGATTGTATGAGTGTCGTAGAGTGCGACTAATTTGATGGGAAGAATTCTAATTTTGAGAGACTGATTTTGTAACGACCCGACCGGTCGTTTCGAGAGTTATAGCCTCATTCCCTATTTACTGCTCCTTTTATATTCTACAGCTGTTATATGACTTACCGGGTTGGTTGGTTCGGGTCTGGAGTGATTTCAAAGTGAATTGAGACACTTAGTATCTTAATTGAAAGCTTAAGTTGAAAAAATTAACCAGATGTCGACTTGTGTGTAAACGACATCAGATTTGAATTTTGATGGTTCAGTTAGCTCTATATGGTGATTTTAGACTTAGGAGCGTGTCCTGATTGTGACTTGGAGGCCCGTTGTAGAATTAGGCTTGAATTGGCGAAAGTTAGAATTTTGAAAAGTTTGACCGAGGGTGGGCTTTTTGATATCGGGGTCGAATTGGATTTCCGGAAGTTGGTGTAGGTTTGTGGTGTTATTTATGACTTGTGTGCAATATTTGAGGTCAATTGGATGTGATTTGATAGGTTTTGATGTCGTTTGTAGAATTTAAATTTTTTAAAGTTCATTAGGCTTGAATCTGTGTGTAATTCATGTTTTTGATGTTGTTTGAGGTGATTTGAGGGTTCGACTAAATTTGTATAATGTTTTGGGACTTGATGGTATGTTTGGTTGAGGTCCCGGGGGCCTCGGGTTGACTTCAGATGGTTAACAGATCATTTTTGGACTTAGGTTGTTGGCTGATAACTGCTGGTGTGTTCTTCTAGTTTCCTCTTATGCGTTCTCGAGAGGAGCTCGCGTTTGCGAAAGGTGTCTGTGAGCTGGGAAGATTTTGTTCTTCGCGTTTGCAAACAAGAGGACACGAAGGTATGGACTGTATGTGCATCGCGAACGCGAGAGAGAGGTGTCACGTTCGCGAAGAAGAGTTGAGGCAACTAGGGACCCTAGGCCTTGGTCTACGCATTCGCGGGGAAGGGGTCGTATTCGCGAAGAGTGGAGTTGGCAGAGCTTCGCATTCGCGAAGCTGAGGTCGCGTTCACAAAGTGTTAAATTGAGAGACGGGCAGATTGATTTGCGCGAATGCGAGAGGAAGGTTGCATTCGCGATGAAGGAATATCTGGGCAGCAGTGTTAAATTTCAAGAACAAGGGTTTGGACCTTTTTTATATTTTGAGCTAGAGACCACGGATTTGGGCGATTCTTGAAGGGATTTTCAAGAAGTTGATTGGGGTAAGTGATTCTTACTTGGTTTTGGCTAAATTCTATGATTATGCCTTTAATTCCATCTTCTAATTTGTGATTTGGGGTGAAAATTGGGGAAAAAGAGGAAAAGTTCTTGAGTTAGATTTTTGAGGTTCTGAATGGGATTTTATTATCGGATTTGAGTAAATGTGGTATAGTTAGACTCATAAGTGAATGGGCTTTCGAGTTTTATGACTTTTGTCGGATTTCCAGACATGGGTCCGGGGCCCGGGTTTGAGGCGATTTCGGATTTTGGCTATAATTTAGTATTTTTCTTGTGGAATTGACCCCTTTAGCCTATATTAATTGTATCGTACTACTTGTGGCTAGATTCGGGACGTTTGGAGACCGATTTAAGAGGTAAAGGCATTTTAGAGTAGAGTTTTGCCAGGATTGATGTAAGTAACACTTTCAAACTTGGTTTTGAGGGTTCAAGACCCCAAATTATGTAATATGTGATTGGTATTGAGGTGACACACATGCCAAGTGACAAGTGTGCGGGCGTGCACCGTGAGAATTATGACCTGGTTGATTCCATGGCACTTAAAGTCTATTGATATCCGTGTTTTC